TGGTTCATTCGAAGTATAGAGAGGATGGTTCCTGAACTTTCATCATTTTTTATTTCTCCAAACTAGTTGAAGCTACATGTAATGTACCTCAATTTCGATCAATTTCTAAGGGCAGCATGATGCGTCATTTGAATTGCGTCTCAAACGAGGCATCCAAGATGATATGGCCAATAAATTTTCAAGTTCTGTTAAAAAAAACTGGCTGAAGGTATAGAAGACCTTCTGAATGGGCTAAATTGTTTGGGAATGATTTCTTTGTTATCAAACAGTTTCTCGAAATATTCCGACCATAAATAACTGTCATCTTCGGCCACTAATAGATTTGAAGTCGCTTGCAACAATTATTTGTGTTCGCCCATCAAATGGCCTTGCTATACATTTCTTAGAATAACTTCTTACGATTCGAAGCCCACCCGTAAACTTATCCTACGATCTGCAAAGGGCCAGTAGGTTTGCATAATAAACCGATGAGAGGAGGTGACAATAAAGCAAATCGGTTGACTGCATATTTATTCCCTTCCAGAGAAAAACAATATCGGTAAATAAAAATTTAATTATGCAATTTTCGCTCATCGAACTGGGTGAATTCTGTAGGGGGACTCTCAACATGATATCTGAAAGCTTGCCATTATGATGCACTCACAAGAGAGTAGCCAGCCAGTTCCTGTGTTTATCGTGTGCACCACCACGTTTGCCTAAAGCATTTCACGGCGTGAGTGAAGCTCAGTTACGATGATTGATAATTTTTTGGTACTAGTCCTATGAAAGCTATCGCCTGTTGCTATGCTTTTGACAATCTAACACATTGCCAAATTGGCATGAAAGATGTTTTGAGAAGAGAACAGCCTACACTTGAAAACAGTGTTGAATAATGTTTGCATCTTGAGTGTAGAGACAATTTGCATCGCTTTAAAGTTTAAGTTGAAAACTGCAGTTCACATCCTCGTCATTTGAAGTGTTCTACCTACTCTAAATCAAGACTTGTCATTCGAAACATCATAATAGATAACACTGAGTGGAACCATATCAGCTTGTTTTTAAATTGAATCAGTATGTTTGGTATTTTATAAGATCCTTCTAATTAGCCTCTAACAGCATAGGGCGGAATTGATACGTAAGCTAAAATTGGTGCCAGCATCAAAATACGGCTCAAAATACTTTATACTATTTCTCAACGGTAAGCTCAAGTTTTCACGATTTTATGTTGTTTCAAAGGAGTTGATATATTGTTTCTTTATCGCCCTTACCGTCATAAGATAACACCAAACAGAGCAATCAAAGATCTTATCTTTCAGTTTTTGAATAAAATTAACAAACTTTTCGTGTAGGTATTCAACTAGAGACACACCTTAACCCTTTATTGTCAGGAAAGTCAGTTGTGGTTTTGCACATTCGTACGGAAGTTGATGTTTATCTGTTTTAAGATCGATAAATTCATACTGAGGGCTTGAATTCAAAAGTTATTATTGAGTCTGACGACAAACTTAAACAAGTTTATAAAAAATGCAGGTCACTATTTCTGAATTTCCTTTCTTGACGTCCGACTATGGCCCAAGGAAGTGTCATGCGCCAGACAAACGAATCATAATTTATTAGTTACTGGAGCGTTCTGGGAGTGGATCTCTATGCATTGAAATTAGCTGATGATTTTCGATTTTCGAGTCTTGTTAAATACTTGTGATAGTCAGACAGTTTTCGCACTGTATTGTAGTGACATGAACTGAAGAGCAGTCATTTACTGCAGGCGATTCTGATGCATTTCTTGAAAATTGAGTTTGTGAGTTTGATAGTGGAAAGTAAAATAACGTAATTTTCAGAGTTTTCTTTCTTTTGACTTTTTTTCTTTCTATTCGTTTTTTTTTTCTAATAAGATAAGAGTATTTATTACTAAAGTGACTTGTGAACTTTTTTGTTGTAAGTCACCTTAACTACCGCTCCTGATATTTTCAACAAATTCCTAATTAGATAGCGCTTAATGAAAAATGAAATGGCTGACCTTAAATATTTAGTATGCGAAATAGAGCGGAAAAGCCAAACAGTGCGACCCTTTTGTGTTTCCCACGCGTTATGTTAAAGTGCGTGACATTTGAGTGACATGGGGCCAAATTTCGATGCGTTATGGGAAAAACGGATGAGCAACCTTCTCATGGGTGACTAAAGCGCCTTCTTTAAATGAGGCACGATTTGGTCAGCGGCTGCAAATCCGGAACGTGTGGAGTTCGAAACTTTGAAACTTTCCTCTGTTGTATTTTTCATCAGAACTCAAACTAAAGACCCATTTATATTACAAAAAGGAAGCCAGCTTTCGTATTTCGTTGATATCCGCAAATTACGAACGAGAGGTCTTTTTTTGGAGTTTTAAAAGAGATACATCAATAAAACTTTCTAAGTCATCAGCTAGTGGTTCTACTTTACAGGTACTATACTTCCTTTGGCCTTCGTCGCTTTTCACATGAAAAAAAACATTGGTTCAAAAAGATTGGACGAATTGTTGTCTTCTTTTTAACTGAGACTCTAAAACACCGATTATCATAAGTACACCCATATGAAACACTTCTTCAGAAAACGTGTAAGTTCATCATTATACTGGAATGCTGTACGTGCAGGCTAGCTAAAAAGACAATTTTCCTGAAAGGAGAATACTCTCGTCTATTGGCCTTCTCAACCTTAAGAAAATAAGGTTCACATAGCGGTAAAAAACACGACAAAGACAAGCTTGTCACAAAAATATGATTTATAAAGGAAAGAGGACTGAGAGGAATCTAATTCGGTCCGTAATCATACGAGTGATTAACAAAATCGGACGACCGCAAAACGGAAGTCTGATTTCTTTTTCACGAGTATGAAGTCAAAAATTCCTCCATTTTGGAAATTCCCAGTTTTTCCTAGGATTAGTGGTTGTTGCCATGGTTATTGAGATCAATTCTATGATTGGTGGATTTAGCTGATGGACTTAGTTCGATTGGCTGCTTCAACTGTCCGATTACCGGTGTCCGATCACAGCCAACTATCCGATGACACTTTCCGATTACAACTCTTCAAAATAATTAGTGAAAATAAAGCAGTTAGTGCACCAATCACAATTGAGGAAATTGCGATGGTCGTGATAAGATGAGAAATCCTGAGTCTTAACCAAAATCTCGGAGATGCAGCAATCGTGTCAGTTTTCATCGTTCCTCCAAAGCCATGTATGTTCTCAGCTTTAGGAAAGGACAAAATGCAAATAATGATATTTAAAACATTCAGTCATATCCAACCCCAGTCGTAGATCTTAAAAGCCAAAACGTCACCAACTGGCAGTTTGCCGTTTACGATAATCAGGAATACTTTGCTCAATTTGGAGCAAGCTTACTCCTCTCAAGTTATCAAACATACCAAAGGCTCACGAAATTGCTGCATGTCCTATGTTTTTCATTGCTCAGCAACAAATTGTCGACTGCGTGTCTATGGCGTAGTTGTAATTGCTTATTACGAGCGCTACACCAACTAGAAAGAAGTAAATGTCATTAACTGAAGAAGCATTACAACATCAAAATCTCGTCTCTATGGAAACGACCCAAATGAAAAATATCAGGGTCAGAAATATTGATCAGTAGTGAGACATGTCAGTGCTCACGCACACGAGCCGAGAGAATGCCGGAAAAAGTCCCCATAAAACCAGCCCACAAAGACCCAACATGTCTTATTCGATATAAGGAAAATTTCATGTAAACCAGGAACTGACTCCTGTGTTATGTGCCGGCCCAGGCTCCGAGCAACAATGGTTGTAAAGCCCGAATTTACTTGGAGTTTTGGAGTTCTAACAAACCCTATTCTTACAGGCAATAAAAGCGCAAGTACTTCTACGCAAGCAAAGAACGGGCCTAATCTGAAAAACTTAGATTTTCATGCGCATAGTTGGCCTTACCTGTTTTACATTTGTCATTGCTTAGGATCTGGCGTAGAAGGTCAACATAAAGCTTACCTCTTTTCGTATAAAAAAAAATCACACGCATGTCATTGTATGTTTTTTATGGAAATTATCTTTCACCATATTATTACTGATTGAGTTTCAGTTTTCGCAAGGCATAGACATTTGTGTTTTTAAGTGAAAATGGTTTCTCACTCCAAGCTCAATTTATATACACTGCGTGTAAACCTCTAAAAAGTAAGAAAATTCCACTTTCGGAAAATTCATGGCCAAAAAAAAAATCCCCTAAATATTCGTTGCACAAAAAAGGAACAATGCTTTCTTGATCTGAGCATATAGAATATTGTATGAAGCAACACAGTTGCGCTCATATTCCTTACATTTCTACTTAAAGGGATTCAATATCTGTTGAGCTATCAGATTCTGAGCAATTTGATAAGGAACCTGGTTGCAACCCCCAACTAAGAGAACATTCGAATTGTTCGTTGGAGGTCACGCTACATATGGAATCTTCCTTGCGAGACCGCTTATACTCTGTAAATTTCGTATGGCAAAGTTGAAAGCGATCTATTCCGTTTTACTAGTGCGAGGAAGTGTTTGTAAGATGCCGCCTAGAGGAAAATTTGCCTAGCACATCTTAAATTCAAAGATACTCTGGCGCCAACAACAGGTGACCGAGTAACACAATTGAAGATATGTTATTTGCTAAACCTAAAATGGAAAATGTGAATTGGCGAAATTAGTTCACAAAACATGTTGCCACAGATGAAGGACGTGATGTAGTTTTATTTTGCGTACTGCATTTGAAATTCTCGTGAACTCTGTCCTTATGTACAAAAGGTTCCTGATACAAACCACTTCGCATAAAATTTATTCACATATTCAATTCATGAGTGACATTGGAAAACAATGGCATTGAACTAAAAATACACGAAGAAATCGACTGGAAAAAAGTTCGATTTCTATCTCGAGAATGGCCTGTATTTCATGAACACACTGTATCAGGAGTAAATCGAATTTACCCGAATTAGCTGCGACATGTGGTGTATAAAATTACGAGCAACTGAGCCACAGCTGTGTGAGCGATGGGTCATCTTTGCCATAAGCCCAAATTAAGAACTTGAAGATGAGGTAGATGCATTAATTTCTCCAGCCCTGTTTTGGTGACTCTGGTACAGCCGTAAAGATCAATGTTTGTTATACTAGTCAAGTTTTCGGCGATAGAAATCAAGCTTGCGTCCGTGATTTGCGTGCATTGGCCAATATTCAAAACGCGAAGGTCGTGTAGACTTCGCGCAGCCTTGCAAAGACCATCATCCGTAATATGACAAGAATTCAAGCCCAGATTTTTCAAATGATGAAGTCCATTAGATATGTGTTTTAGTGCTGCATCTCCCACTTTGTCGCAAAAGCTTACGTCCAGGTACGTTAAATTAAGGCCTCCTACTGCCAAGTGTGCTATTCCTTCATCGCCAATACTTTCACAAGATCGAAGGTTCAATTCGCGAAGGCTTCGCAGACCAGCCAAATGAGCTAGTCCACTTTCCGTAATACCACAACAGAAGCTTAAATTGATGGACTCTAAATGTACTAGTCCTTTAGCTATGTTGCTTAGTGCGTTATCGGTGATCTTTTGACAGTCTTGTAAACACAAAGTAGTTAAATTCTTGTTTCCGCGCGCCGAACTCGCATTCAATCCAGCGAGATGTGCGATGCCGGTGTCCGAGATGTGTCGGCAACTTCGAAGATTCAAGTATTTTAACTTCGGTAGGCCCCACGCACAAAGTAGCAGTCCCGTGTTCGTTATATTACAACATCCAGCGAGATCCAACACCTCTAAATTGCTCAAAAATCGAGCGATTCGTCCAAGACTAGTGTCGGTGATTTGTTTGCACAAACTTAGATTTAACACTGTCAAAGACGAGAGATCTTTAACGAACGCATGTCCAATTCCAATATCCGTCACATTATAGCATCCTTTCAGATTTAAGCTTTCTATATTCGGTAGATTTTGTATAACGTAGTTCAAGCTTTTTTTGAGACTCAGTATACGGATTTTTCGAATACCACGTTTCGCCAGCGAAGGGAATAGATATGGATTCGACCTTCTCAAGTGTAGTCTTGCTTGAACGCCGCGCCATACCAAACGGTTGTAAGCCGCGTCTCTCCATTTTGAACAGACTTGGGAAACTCTTCCCTTATCCCTTATGTCCAAATAACTAAAAATTATTGCCAAAATCTCTGGGAAAAGGCAGTGGATCGTAGCATCGCTTTTCCCTTTCATGTCGCTCGAACCGCGTTCAACAAAGCACCATTGGAAATCGATCAGGCATTTCAATACTCTTGGGACCTTTTGTTTAGCTTGACCACGTGATCGCTTGTAAATCGCTGAATGGCTTTTACAAACAATAGTTTGATCGACGCTCACAGTTTGAGTCAAAGTATGGTGCAAACAAAATTATTTTTAGTTTCGAATAACAGAACTTTTCACGCTTGGAAAAACTTTGCGAAAAGCAAAGACAAAACTAAAATCATACATGATGATTCTACTGTTTTTCCAAGGCAAACAATAAATTGATATCTACTCGGTGCGCCGACAAGATTCTTTCATTGTCGCCTTTACATATTCGCACTATAAAGTTATTCCTGATTATATCACGACATCTTTGCACTGATGGAACTGTCGCTAATGTCAAGAAGAATATTAAATTCAAATTCAATTCTCAGCCATGAAGCCTTTAAAAGTTTTTGGGTTTTTAGTTTTAAAATGTAAAATTGGCAAAACATGTTTGTAGCAAAGTCATAAAAGCATTTTTTTATTTTTTTATTTTTTTTTTGGCACGTCAAGCTCTCATGCCTTCAACCACAACGAAAGCTAATTGCTTAATTGCCCGAATTACAGTTAAAAATAGATCATGGCTTGCAATTTTGTGTGGCTGGCGGCGACAGAATTTAACTTTAGTTTTGACCCACCATACTTCTCTAATCAAAATAAAATACCGTCGGTACTTTCGAACAATAGTCTCTGTTCTCAGAAGTTGTTTTATAATCGTGTTCTTGTCTTTACAACAAAAAGAAATCTGCAAATTTGAGTCTTTTCAAGACTTTACCTACAGACTTAAAGCTCGGATTACACACGGCTAATCGACTTATATTTATCCTATAAGAATGAAAATTAAGAATTTTCCATTTATATCATACACAGTGTTCATCCCTTTTAAGTAAGTTTTTCCAAGGTTATTTATCTGTTCAATGATATTTCTTTAAGATGAGCGGTCCAGATTTATTCAGATTGTTGGAGAAGTCTTTTTTTTCTTAGTTGCGTTTTCTTTGTTCACCTAATATCCCATTGGAAACCTCAAGTTCAAACATTGCATGTTAGAAACGCTTCTATATTGCGTTTGAATTAGTAGAACTGTTTTATATTGCTTCCACTTACGTCATGGTGCCAATATCCTCAAGTATAATTTAACATGGGGAGGGGGAGGCATAATTTTTTTCGACGCTTCACACCAACTGGTTATAGAACTACTCTCTTCCACCAGATTCAATTCATCGCAGTCAGGGCAACTTACCCTGATCGCCTTTGTAGGTTCAAAACAAGGACCACCTCGGAACGAAACTTAATATCTATTTTCAATTCGACGCAGACGTATTCATAGAGTCCTTTCCTTTTGGTGGCCCGAGAGCTTAGACCTCATAATACCTTTAATCCCCAATAAGCCAATAATTGACAGATCAACCCGGTTTAACGCTCTACGATTTAAAATTGTGCCAGATCCTTGAAAAATGGTAACAATAACGATCTTCTTCATCATAGAATTTTTTGTGGCTTAGTGAGCAGTGAGCAAAGAATTATCCAACCGGAATATGGGGTGGTTCCCCCCCCTCCCCCCGAGTCTTCATGTAAGACAAGGGTCAGGCCCCAATGTTCGTGACAGATATTCAACACCCTCCTTTACTCATAATTAAAGTAACGAGAATAATCATATATTTGTATTGAGATAAGTAATAATAATAATAATCGTAATGACGATAATAAGGATACGAACGACAATACCAGTGATGGTGATAATAACAATAAAAATGATAATAACATAGACGAAAAGGAAAATAACTGGTAACAACAATAATAATAATAACAATAATAATTACTACGTGGCGAATTGCCTTTTAAGGCATCATACCTCAATTTCGGATTCAAAACGTTTTTCTTCTTTTCTTTCTTAAGCGTTCTAACCCTCTATATATTTTCTTTTACCGCCCATTTTTTTAGGAGATAAACGATTTTTTTTATTCATTATCAATTCATTTATCGTTTTATTGACTTATCTATGTACTGATTCATTTTTCAATTCATTTACTTTTATTATCTCTGTTTGGTTAAATATTGTAATGGTGCATCTTAAGTGATTAACATATAACTTCTCCCAATAGTATCTGTACATTATCCAGCAAACAGGTAATGAGAATACTCAAACTAATGTAGAAGTTGTTACTTTGATCTAACACTAAACTTTCGTAATTTACAAAGAAATGAGTAGCAGCTCGACGTGAGAATTAACAATAAGATCTTTGGAGTGAAAGAGTAAAAGAAAAAAAAAAGATTTGCTGCAATTAAAAACTGCAACATGTGGCAAGCGGACGAGAACGTCCGACAAGGCTATATTTTCACCATGACTCGAATGGATTCAATTTCCGTTACCATCGATCACAAAACGTCAGCTACAAATTCTTTTCAGTATTGCACGTAGTGTGATTGCTGAGTAATAGCATAAGTCATCACCTGAAAGTTGCACGTGAAGATTTCTAACCACTTTCCCTAAGGTTGTCATATGCTTCTAGTTTAAAACAATTAGCTCTCAGCTGGAAATTTTCGGAACGTCAAAGCACAGAGAAAGTACGTACCGAACACTGAGGGAACGCCGCGTCGAGTCCCTGCATCCCTGCTCACCGCCTTCTTCCTCTTCTTCTAGTCACAGTTTACTTTAAAACACCTTTTTTTTTTAGCAAAGACTAGGGTAAAGATATCTCATTTTTGCTTATGGTCATAAAAATTACTGCATAAATTTGTGGTTACGAACAAGCTATCTTCAACCTCAGCAACCTTTCGTCTTCTGAAATAACGGTTAGAAGAGAATTGCTTTTTCTCATTTTTCACAGAAGAATTTACTCAACATGCTGAGTCTGTCGCTTTAAAAAGAAAATTAATTTACTGGTGTGTTATGAGGATCTTTGCAAATTTGCCAGCTAACTTAACGGAGAAACTTCAGTTTCGATCAGAATCCACAGAATTTAGAATAATTCTTCAAGGAAATTTCCTATTTTCTATTTGTCTGGGTCTAATTATTGTCCTTTTCTGCAACAATTATTGTTAACATGGGTAATACAAAACCTAACCAACGTAATACTGAAAACTCCAAGAACAATGAAACAACCAGTCTGTGAAGCATCACTACTTTCGTGTTATCGAGTCTTAGATCTGAAGTAGAGCATGGCAGTTTTACTTTGACATCTTGTATGGGCTCTCGTGCAATAAATTTGATGGCTATCAGTTTGAAAGTAAGTTTGACAAATGTTGTTCCACAACATCTAAAACTTGAAAATTTTGTACCCTGGTCTACTTTCGTTCCAAGATCAGGCCCGGGACTGAACAGTGGTTTGAACAAGATTAGAAAATTTCCTCACTCGTCAAACGATCCAGTCATACAAGTTATATTTTTGGACATCTCTCCTCATAAACAATTTATGAGTAATCATGTCTTAGCAGTTAATACACCGTACAAAAATGTCCAGACAGTCGAAGAAAAAAAAATACTGCCCCCTGCGATAATGAAACTCCCCGTATCAGAAATATATAACACAACACATAACAGAAATAACTCCTCACTTCAATCAATTTTTTGAGCGTTCAAGTGGAAGGGGTGGTGGGTAAAGTATGGCACGAAGGACACTTCACACCCTAGTTATACTGAGCGCGAAATGTCGTAACTAATGAGGATTGCAGCAGCAGGTTCGAGCGCCTCTTACCTCATCTGAGTAACTCAAACTTTAATTTCACAATTTTTCACTTTTCTAAATCTGTTTCGCTATAATCCAGATTAAATATAACCTTTATTCGGTCGAAAGAGGTATTTTAATTTTCACAGCTGAACTTATTCTCTCCTGGTATCAACCGACGATCGCCCCCAAAATTAATACTTTGCTTGAATCTTTTTTCACCAAAAATTTTTGACGCGTTCCAGGAATGCAAGATATCTTCTCACGCCTTTTTGCAAATATTACTTTCATGCATTCCACAATGATATGAAATCTCTAAAGTAAAACTCTGCTTGCCTCGAGTCTGTTATCAGGTTATCAGCCTACATTATTGCCCCTAATTGTTGAAATAATCATGAATTTTTCACATGAAGGTCTCTATTCCTGTTTTATCCATTTCTAGTTCTGCCTTCTTGAAATTGTTTAAGAAAAGCGCTCTTCTAAATATTCATAATAACCATTTTTTTGTAATTGATTGGGATATCTCTCACGGATAATCTAGAAAAATTGGACTTTAATTTTTGCAAGGAAACGGGATCATTGACATTGATTCATGTTGTTTAATCAGGTTGCATAAAAATTTTGACAACTTCATCGATCTCTTGTAATGAAATATAAACGCCAGAGTTGTGCTATTATTTTTTTCAATCTCTTGACCTTTGAGGCAACCTTAGCACGAGACTCGGTCTGGTTATTGGCATAAGCAGATAAGAACTGTAACTTCGCCCCTAAAAAATAATTGAGTGTCTAACCCTTTTTTCGCGAAAAATCTTGCGTAAGCGAAGGAAGTGGAGAAGAACCATATTTGGGAAAGTTACCCCCACACGAAAACTAGACTGTTAGATTTCAGATCTATTTTTGAAGCGGTAAGAATTTATATGATTGATTCAATGATCGTGCTAAATGCCGAGGACTCCAGCAGAATAAACTGGGAGAATTACCCCCCACCAAAGAATAGATTATTAATAATTTTTTTTGACAGATTCACTTTTCAGGTTTCGATTAACTGCTTGAACTGATTCATTAAAATAACTTTTAATGTCAAGCTGGGCAAAAAACGCTGACAATTTCTTTCAATTTGACTACTCCTGGATCTGAGGCTGCGATGTAGCAAAATCATGGCATTGATTCGGGAGTTCTTACTTGAATGCGAAAACTACCTGACTTTGACTTCTTTAGCACATATGAATGTTCTCAGCAGGATAAACATAGATTCCCATGTGAAATAAGCCATTGATAATCAATAAAAAGAGTTTAATTTGTAGAATTCACTCATTTCTCGATGTATCACTTCAGTGATACACCGAGAAAGAACAATCTTGCGCTATCTGCCTACACATCCCTTAAAAATCCTAGGGCTTTATGATGGTGTACCGTCTTAAACAATTTTATCTAAACGCAAGCTCCAAAATGTCTTGTAATGGTCACATTTAATTAATTAATTCAAACTTTGAATTATCCATGGTGAACCCCAAATACTTTTAGTGGCTGTTAATCCTGAGAACAGGTGAAAAGGATAACCTGTTTTGCACTTCAGAGAAAAAGTGAGATCGAAATTGCTTCTTTTTCGGTATAAACTTCCTCTTGAGTGGTGAATGAAAAGTACGTTTTTAGCCTCGGCATGGCCCGGTGACGTTAAGGACGCCTTTTAAATGAGTAATTACTCGATCAGTCTGTTAGTCTGGTATCATATGGAATGCGTCGTTTCGGGGTGGGCATTGCCTAAAGGCTGGTAGCAGTGCGGTGGTATGAGACTGTTACTCGGACCTCAAGCAGAGTTACGAATTTTTCCACAACTGACAAGTTTTACCGGTGTTAACAACCGGGAAGTGAGGGAATCTTTTTAGAGCAGTTGATCAATTTCCGCCTAAATTAACAATTTCGCGCTCACTCGTCATAAATGATTCATGTAAGCTTGTTCATATAACTTTTGATCTGCTTTTCGGTCATCCACTTGACCTTGATAAAATTGATTTGAAGACTCAGAATTTTTCAAAACTTTGCAAATTATAGAAACTATTAATAACCCATTGAAATCAAAGGCCTTTCTCATTAGTTTGATCATATTCTAATATTTGCTCTCTGCGAACTGATGCCGAGTGAAATCCAAGGACAATGAATATTTCAGGGCGCACCAACGAGTTCTGTTATATCAGTTTAACATGACCAAGATAACGATTTGTTTTTCAGCTTGTTTTGTATCGCATTACGACCAAATTTGGAGTAAAGGTAGTTACAAATCAAAACAGATTCAGCGTAAATGTTGACTGAAAACGAACCGAAGTTGCGTGCCCTCACGATTGTCAATTTCTCGCGTGCCGGGCGCCATTAGATGGAAAAAGTTTTAGCTGTGATTGGCGTCCAATGCACGAGAACCCTGAAAGGCAGCCAGCAAAAGATGTGAACTTTCAACAAACAGTGTCATCTGACAACATCCCAAAACTCTTAAGGAATGTCGGTCTATTCATCGGATCACGACAGTAAGGTCACAAACCTGGTATGACATTCTTAGTTTTCGTGCACGGCATGAAATTGTAAGACCGTAATAATCTAAAAATTCCAATACATGAGTGTGCATCTCATCTCAGAGCGCTAATCTTTTCCTCTCGAGGGTTTTAATCAACATCCACTCGAAGCCAGATGAAAGCTGCCCGTATATGTGTGGCAAACGCGGTTGTACATATTCGTGACAAATCGTCCATGGTACTAAATAATGATATGTTCTTTCAACTTGTGCCACTTAGACGCGTTTCCAAACTTATTAAACAAATGATCCTAAAGGTCAATTAAAGAAATTAAGGTTTTGAAGCCTAAATGGCTTGTCTTTTAGACTTTTTATTTCTTCTAGGAATCTTTTCTCGTGTGTATTTGATTTGTTACGTTAGTGACTGAGTGGCATCTGTCTAGTCCATGTTTGCTCAATATCACACCGCATTATCAGAAAGTCAAACAAGCTATTGCCTTCATTGAAATCCAACTCTTTTCTGTGGTGACATATCCGTCAGTTGACGAGGTCATCCTTAAACTGGAAATATTTCCGGTATAAAAGCCCTCTGGCTGATAGACGCCAATTTTATTCAGGAATCTCCGAGGCAGAGTCTGCAAAAATCGTGTCTTTTGCGTTTAACTTCTTACATCTGTAATCAATAAGTTCGACGAACTTCTAAATTCAAACAGGATTGGATTTAGTTCCCATCGACCAATCAGGAGAAGCGAAATGGTATTATAGGAAGCGAGTCGGCTTTATTTGAGTGCTTACTGCATGTGCTAAAGAGATTAGTATAAATCAGCGAGCGTGAAGTAATTGCAGGGAGTGCGAGCTTTGACAAGCTTTTGTCTCTTTCAGAACTTCTTAGACTTCGCAATGAGGGTGCGTCGACGAGTCCGTCAAGTTCCACTAATCCTTTGCCTTATGCTCCTCACATCGTTCTTTCAAGTTGGACAGAGTATATGGTGAGTCAAATCCCTTATCACCTCACTAGCACCCACTTTGTTTTTATTCAGGGGCTCGCTTTCCTTCCTAAACGGTTTTATGTTTGTCTCTGGTTTACACAACAGCATCTGGAAGAAATCCGAAGAAAAACATCATTCCCGTCAAAGTGAGGTGTTAGCTTAAATTCCTAATACTTGGTGTTAGTAAGGGTGTCAAAAGCTGCTCTTCAAGAGGAATTTGGCTGGCAGTCAATCAACCCTTCCCTGCCACTAAAAAATTGAATTGGGTATATTGGATGCCATTGTAAGACTTGTGCATCCATTTCTTTGCAGAGAGCTAATGGTTTTATAATCCCTTTGATGGCGATTACTTGTAAATTGCTTAGCCAAACATCTTTCCTGTTTTGTGTTTAAACAGGCCGCTTAGTATTCCACACCAGGCGTTTATTGTAGGCATCGTCCCTCAGCCTTGCCACAATATGGGATTGTCCGACGATCAGAAACAAATATGTATGAGTGAGGCGAATCGGGAGCTTTTACCTACAATAAGATATGGTGCAAGTTTGGCGTACAAACAGTGTCAGTACCAGTTTAAGTATCGCCGTTGGAACTGCTCTGTGCCTGAAAAAGATAGCAATTCCCTGTTTCGCCGAATAACGGGGAAAGGTAAGTATTTGGTAACTGCACTCACTCTTGTTCTGTATCATGTTTTGACCTCAGCCTTGATTGTTTGTGTACGTATCGTCATAACACTGACTGCCATTTCCTATTCTTTCGTATGACACCTGGTTCAGCCATCATTATACTGAATGTTTGTTTGTGCAAGAAAGCAAGCTTAAAAACGTGCTCTTGTTACTCAGCACCGACTCAACCAGTGTTATACTTAACAGCTCAATAAGAATCCTGGCTATTTTCAAAAACGTACTTGAAGATGAAATTTCCATTCTGTTCGATAAAAGAGCCGCTTGAGGTGGATGTGTCGAGATATTGAGGAAAGCTCTCAAACGATATTCGGTTGCTATGCAAAATACCTTATTTTTTCAAAGTTATTAACATTTCCAAGAGCTATTCTAGCATTTATCAGCATAACGAGATTGTGCATTAAGTTATGAAAGATTTCAGTCATAGTTCAGAGCGGTTACGCACTCACTTGTTTGGGAGGCAATCGTTGCGGTTTCTTTTGTCAGGATATTATAATCTTTCATGTCAAGATATGTCCCAGATGTCCACTCTAGGCGCTTGTGGTCTACGGCGGGAAAAATTTAAAAAATAGAAGTTTTCTCCGGCCGCAATACGATTAGCATAGACTGTAAAAAATGTTTGATCTTTTTACAAAATTTTGAATGACCCTAGACTTCAAAAATTGCATGATCGTGACATTTAGAAGGTCAATCTTTACACGAACAAAACACGCAAGCATTTTTGAAACCTTTCCTTCAACTAGGCATCAAATTGTCATCTTGTCATTTCAAATTATTCGAAGATTGTTTGAGAACGTACTTGAATACGTTTCAGTCACTGAGTCGTCAAAAGGGCCAAGGCTAGATATCAATGAATAGTGCTTTCTCAAGAGTGCCTCTCCAATCTGTCGACTTACTTCAGTTATCTTGGTCGAGAGACTCGGATACTGTTAGTTGAAGCTTTAAGTCTCTAAAGGTTGTTTTAGCTTTCCATAGTTCATCTGCCTTTAGAGAGCTACGTGTTGGAAGAAAAAATGAAACTGAGGTTGTTTGGTTTTTCAAGATAATTTTCATGTCTTCCAGTTCCTCCTCTTCTTAATTTACAGTCCTAGGAGAAAGCCAGACATTGGTCAAAAGGACTTTTCTAATTCAAGAGAATATCTTAAAAGATCGGTTTAAATTTAGCAATTATAGACCAATATCCTTTGGAACCGTTAAAAAGTTTACTTTGCTGAACAACAAACTATTATAGATCGATTAATTCAGAGATTTTCCGTTGAGCCTCTTTAAAGTGTAACAATAGCTTCAACCGTACTCTGGCGTAAAGGATTATCAAAGAAAGTCGCACTTTGAAAATATCCATTGTTATGTGTCTGTTACCTAAATCGAAGAGCATAATAACAAAAAGTGTGCCTGAGGCATCTTTGATTAACTTTTAAAAGTCGATAATTTTATCGACAACACTATGAATATACATTTAATTAAATGTTACCCTCTGGCGCCTCTAAGAGGGTTTGTTAATAACATCGATTTAGGAGAATATCATTTTAGGCTTCTAATGAATATTGACAAAATTATTTTCTCAATTGTCAAATTACATGGCAGGTTTTTTAGAGCCAGCTAGTTCCTATTATAACAAAACCCCAACTCTCAGAAATTTGAAAACAAAGCGCTATTCCCCAATTCCTTAAAGAGGATCTTTAAGCACGTGGCATATCTGTTTAAAGATTTGCTTGGTGGAAACCAGATTTTCCTTCGCCAATAAGTTTAGAGAGTGGCTGAGTAGACGATTGACCATGAACGTTTATGCTTCTTAGCTAAGCTTAGGAAGAAGCAGGTAGCAAAGGTGGCGGCAGTTGCAAATGTAACAGTAGTAGTATTAAAAGTGGTATGAAGTAGTAATCGTTGTTGTGGAAATAGTAGTAGAAGTAGGTGCAGCAACAGCAGCAGAAGTGGTAATAATAGTGTTGGTGCCAATAGCAGAAGTAGTAGTAAGTTGCCTGTTGGAGATTAATATGTACCTTAATAGGTGTATTCTTGAACAGCTTCAATTAACTAGATTCCTATATCACAGTTGACGTCAACAGATTTTCTTGGTCGTGTTTAAAACGTGTTTCAAAAAACAAATTATCTACATCATCAGAAGAAACATTCGTAATGGTAGTTGTTAGAGTAGCAGTGGCAGTATTGATAGTCGCAAAAGAAATTGCAGGGGCATAAGCAATGATAATAGTGGTCACATATCAGTACAGGGCCTTACACTCCATCAATAGGCATTAGTTTAAGATCCTGCTTTCTTCTTTCACAAAAATAAGGGATGTTATGAGGAAAGAGTCAGTGTGTAGAAATTCATGAGCTTAAAATTCCTAAACAGCTCATTTCTTGTCTACGTCGTTAATAAATGCAATTCAGTAATTGAAGCAGATGATTCATTCACAGTGTGATCTTGTGGATGTTTTCAGGTACGAAAGAGGCAGCCTTTACATATGCTATATCAGCCGCTGGTGTGGTGCACTCGATAGCCCGATCATGCGTGGAGGGCAATCTCAGTATGTGTGGCTGTAGTCGGGAAAGAAGGCCTAAGGACTTAAACAGCAACTATCAGTGGGGAGGATGTGGAGACAACATAGAGTATGGCGCCAAGTTCGCAAAGAAATTCATGAAAGCTGGCGAGAACTCTAAACCGAAGGACACGCGTGAACTAGAAAGGAAGTTGATGAATCTTCATAACAATGAGGTTGGAATACAGGTGAGGAAATTTTATTTGCTGATCAGAACTCCATTTTGGTATGATTCCTGCTGTTGGGATAGTTATATGGTTGATTGTTATCGAAAACATCCCGTTTAAACATCTAGAAACTAAATCCTAGGTCAACTACATACGCATCGCATTTTGTTTCCAGCATCAATCTCTTCTATAGCTCAAGCGACATACTTCATCGGTCATTTACAGTGCTTTATTTGACTTCAAAATCTCAACCACAAGCCGAGATGTCGTTTGCACACAAATTTCTTCGTAAAACAAATCTAGCCGGTAAACATGCAAACTCATCCAAAGGATCCGCATTTGTTAACACATTGCTTAGTTTAAGATCTTCACTAACATTTCATAGTTCAATTTTCCAGTGGAACAAACTATAAAATTTGGTGTTTCGCTTGCGAAAACATTGAGTGGTATTGAAAAATGATTGAAGGGAAAGAGGATAAGATCGCCGATTGATCTTCAACATCTCTTACTGGAAGTGCGGCATCCTTCCATCATAGATCAATATACCAGTCTACTCAACTTCGTAGCTTGAAATAGATACAACAGATGATCAGCTCAATATAATTTCCTTAGCTTTGAAACCCCATTGGCATCTCTCTCAAAATTAAAATCACATCTACATCAAAAGGCCAAAAATAGTGGCGGAACTCTCTGTAGAATACGATCGCTGAATTTCCGCCGCCCTATTGTGGTTGATTTATCGTCTTAGGCACAACGCCGTCGACCAAGATAGCGAATTACTCATACTGATGCAAATATCATACTGGAGCGTCACAAATGCAGAGGAATTTTGAGCGATGTGCAAAGTAACTATGTGTGGGTCAATAATTTACCCTATCAGACGTCTTTCATACTTAGAAAGTGAGCCACATATTAATCATGATGTCACGCCTTATTTCGCTCCTCCTTTTGAGCAGTTATTTGCACAATGTGTCAAAACCTTGGCTTGCATGTACCGGCGAAATCGAAGCCACACACTGAGGTTTCTTGTCAGTTGTTGAATAGATATCGTTCGGCCTCTAACGAAACCTATTATCTCCTAATGGAGATAATATGTTTCTTTGACTACGTGGATATTGCTTGAAAACAACAAAATTCTGACAAGATTTCTTCTTATTGTTCTCTCTCCGTTCATACGTTATCTTTCTTTCTTATCCGTTCTCAGCCTCAAATCATAAACTGTATTTTAATTTCATAATGAAATGTCATCATCAGTTCTCTTCAGTTCTTTGAGGAAAGCGAAACAATTACTTCGGTACAGGAATAATGAAATTGTCTTTCCATGTTGAGTAATATCTTGATTAAGCTTGTTTTTCTCTTTGGTTCATAACTCAGAACGAGTTAATGTCATCAACTTTGGCGGGTTTTCTTTTATTTCAGTAACTATTGAACAGTAGGTTTTCACTTCCCTTGCTGTCGGCCTCAGCTACGATCTTCACAGCAAGACATTCCTTTGGGAAGGAAATGCAGTTATTTTTGAAATGAAGACAGACAAGGCACCCAATGTTCAACTTCATGTGGGATAGATTGCGTCCCCGACTGAGCTGAAACGTTTAAGTACTTTATATGGAAATTCATGCCTGGTTGCTGTCTTATCTTTCCTTGGATATAAATACTAATAAATCAGTCAATTAATCCTTTTCGCTTACCCTTATTAAGCCTTCTCCTGAACTGTCGGCAGTCTGTAGACAATGTTTTTGCGGCCTTTCTGTCGGTGCCTAAAGCCATCTGTAAGTATCTTGTTACTTTCAAAAGATAAAAATCATGGCCTATTACTCTCTATAATAGGTCGTCTGTCGTCATATAAATAAATATTTCTGGTTAATTCATTTTCGTGACCGGTTTTGCTTGTACCAAAAAATTAAGCGGCCACAAAGGGATTGTTACCTCTGTTTCTGATACTTTTGAAGTATGCGTTTTATCTCACCGACAGAATTGCTTTACGATCGTTCACGATAGATGTGGATAACCAAGCAATATCCGCGAATGATGTTTCCCAAACTGAGATCATCAACCAGATGAAGACATTTGGACTTAACCTTTACTCATAGAGAGAAAGAATATCGCCACGACACTGAAGGAATGTTTTCTAAAAATAGTAGCAAATTTACTTTTGTAAAATCTAGGGCTTTTAAGTTTGAATTTTCTTCCACGTGAAGTTCTAGATCTAAAGAAATTTAAAAACCGTCGTTTATCTTTTTCAAACAGGGTCTTTACCACTAACAGAATAGCTGCTTCTCTCCAAAATGATTTTCGCCTATCAGAGGTAGATCTCCTAGCAATTCACTGTTGGTTCATTTCGGTTTTTCTTTTGGGTGAAGACAGGCATTGTATTAGTCTAGGAGGTATTTTGGAGTGCATTGAGCCTGACATCTGCAGTCACTTTCACTGTCAAAATAATCTATTCTTCCCTTTTTCCAAGTTCTAACCAAGAACCATGTTGACTTTATTTCGTGAGGCAGGTTTGGATATCATTCATCGCTCATTTCCTTCTATTATCATGTTTCTGTGGTGTTTGGTTAGTCTTTGTCAAGAGCGTTGTGATCACTTGAAATACTCATTTGCTTCCTGAGACATTGAAAAGATGTCGCCTGCAACTTCATGTGTAAAGAAACACCATCAAGCACAGAAAAGTGGCATTTTACCTTCACAATCTTCACAATTTTGTATTGATTTTTCACTGTGTAATCACTTTATCACCAATCAGTATTCAGCACTTTCGCCACCGTCCACCTTGAGGTAATCCAAGATCCTATCATCCATCAAGATTGTTTGCTGCATCTCAAGAGTTCATTAAGGTATCAAGCTTATCATGACCTGACAAGGTTGGAGTTTGCCTTGTGGACACCAGTATCGTGTTTTCTTACTTCCACAATCCCTCTTGTAATGTGGTACTCATGGTTCAATATGTAAACCGTTGTGAATTATGCTCTTCAGTAGAAGTATTGCTCAGCTCCACAGGTTATCTGTTATTTGCTTTCTATCCGTTACGAAAAGAGATCATACAAATTTCAAGTTTTTTTGATCACTAGTAATCCTCAAGAACGTGCTTGCTGAAGAAAATAACCATTTATTGTTTTCCTCGTGTTTAGGTCATTAGAGATAATTATGAAATCCGGTGCAGGTGTCACGGAATTTCTCAGTCTTGTGAAATCAAGACCTGCTGGAAGGAACTTGTCCAGTTCTCCACCATTGGGGAAAAACTCCGCACCATGTATGATAAAGCCGTCAAGGTTAGACTCGACAGAAGGACTGGGCGCCTCCTTAAAGGGAATAAAAAATCTGAGAACCAGAAGGTGACTGGAAGACGTAGAAGCACCTCCAACAAACCAACGATAGGCAATTTGATTTACTTGGAATCTTCACCCAACTATTGCATTAGAAGCAAGAGGCGTGGAATTCTAGGTACCGCTGGTCGAGAATGCAAAGTGGAATCTGCGGAGGATGGCAACTGTTATGACCTCTGCTGTAGGCGAGGATTCCTTCCGCAAGAGGTTTTAGTTGTAGAAAGATGCGAGTGCAAGTTTCACTGGTGCTGCGAAATTAGATGCAAGGAATGCCGCCGTTATCAGACAAAATATTTTTGTCTCTAAGAAGGCCAAACTTACCACAAGTCCACCATGTTGGATGACGACTTGCGTGTAGTCGCCAAAGAAGAGACTCAAAGTTTTACTTGTGACAAAGATCAGCGAGAGAGCAAAGAAGAATGCGGCAACGTAGCATTTAACTTTATTTAATTTATTTCATAAACCCTTAGTTTTAAACAACAGTTCTAGGAGTGAGATTTAGAGCACTTCACTTTCATTGGTGAGGTAAGATTTAATATCTAAGATCTGATTTTTTTTTTCTTTCGCCAAAACTTCACCAATTTCCTCCAGAAGCTATAATTACAAAGCCATGATTGTTGAATCCGCTGGTGGAAACCCTTTTCCTCAGAAGATCTACCTTCTCGAACATTCCACTCAAGGCAAACGCTGCAGCATCTCAGAGAACGTCTTCTGGCTATCATTACCATCATATTAATTTCCTATCAATATTGTTGTGATTTTCAACATCCTAATCAATATTACTTTTATATTTATTATCATTATCATCATTATTATTATTTTCTCTGCTTGCTCTTGTTATTTAATCCCCCTAGTAAGTTTTCTATATTTGAGAATAATGACGATATGAAAAGACTAGCTAAAGAGAAAAAATGTGGTATTACGTTCGAGATTTCAGATTATATACATTTCAATGTAAATACAAAGAAATGTGTTATTTTGACCCAAAGATATAGTTTATCTTGAAGCGAGAGACCTCAGATTTTAATCGTTACCGAGATAATAACAGACAACGTAATTTAACTCTGTTCCTGAATGCGAATATTTTTTTAGAAACACGGGTAACCTTTATTTCACCTGTGGATTTAACCGATGAAAGATATTTTCAAACTGGTTTTACAATTTTAGTTTTGTTGATTAGGAAAACAGATTTTAACTGAATTTTAAATTGAAGCCTTCCAAACATTGATTTAAAAATATTTTAACTCGGCCATAGACTGAAAATGAATTTATGCACAAAGTGACAAGCTTATCTTATCTTGTAAATCGCTTTCAATTGATAATGAATACTCAATCCGAGATCAATTTACAAAGAACTCTTTTGTTTCACGATGTGAAAAGAGCATTGAGGAGTTGGTCTGTACGAGACCCATCTTGATTCACCAAAACTTTCTCTGTCATAGTAGCTCTGATTCAATCTAACATTAGTTCAAAAGGACTTTCCTCTTTCTCTTAGGTTTGTAATGCGTGATGATGATTTGAGACAGAAAAAGGAAAATTCAAATAAATGGAAAAGGAAACCTCAATATCAAATTCCAACATCTATTTCGGGCCAACTCTAAAAATTACACATAGTTAGTTTTCAATGAGTTAAGGCAGATTAGTGTACCGGAATTGCGCGTTAATCATTCCGAGATCTGATTTTTTATCACCTCTGTAAAAAGATATATGATAGAACTTGTTTGCGGTTTTGTGACTGTTTTTGTTTAAGGACCTGAAAAATATATGTTATTTAAGTATACTTAAAGGAACAGTCTTTCTTGCTTTAGCAGATTCCTTAAACCTTAATTTTTCCATTCGTTTCCTTTTAATTTTATCTCCTTTCTTCCCTAATCTTTCTTAGCTCTTGTTTGCCCTTTAATTGTTTCCCCTGATTTTCATCTCCAATCCCCACTAGTTTCCTTTCACCCTTTTCTCCCTTTTTTTTCATTCCCTTCCATCACTTTCGTCAACATTAGTTAACCTATCTTTCTCATCTATCCTTTTTTTCCAATTAGCTGCCTATCAAATTCCATGTTTTGATTACAATCCTCCCATTTCCTTTCAATCTCTAACATCCCTTTCCTCTCTTTCTCAGCAATCTTTATATTCTTTTCCTTCCCTCCTTTCATTTCCATCTCTTTTCTTTCCTTCTCCCTCAATTTCTTCTTCCCTTCCACCTTTTTCTCTGCCTTTTCACCCCATATCTCTGATGACTTTAAAATCTTTAAGGATGAACGTCTTAAGCCCGGTATAGATGGGCGAGTTTCTTTCTCATGAGAGAGAAAACTTGGACTACATCGTTTCTTTTGTTTCCTAAATCGCACGGTTTTTTGCTCTGCAGGCCGCATGAAGATAAAACCGCATTTTAACTTGTCAACAAGTATGGCAATATGCTATAGTGTCATGTTCTACCACACTTCCAATATGTATACTACGGATAAGAAATTCTTAATAAATAAAGTGTTCGAATCTAATGAAAATTATTTGTCAGGGTGTTGAGATACATTTTTTAACCTTCATAATTTTGTTCAAAAACCTAACTTTGCTTTTTTAGGCCACAACATGTGGTACCTCGCAAGCATGATGAAGCAATTTATGCTTCTATGATAACGTGAACTTTTGACATGTCAATTAATTTTACACACGCACCACGTTTCCAGTATCACTTTTAATTGGTAACAGTCCTTTTACTCTGCTGTGTGACAATCTTTAACTGTCATATTATCTTTATTTCTTCCCTCCTAGGTGGTTATAAAGGAAGCCAAGGTAGTCTGTTCGTGTCACGGGATATCCGGATCGTGCAACATGAAAACTTGTCAACGCGTATTGTCAGAATTCCGGAAAATCGGTGACTTACTTCACGAGAAATACGACAATGCTGTCCGTGTTAAAATGGAGCGGAAAGACACCTTGGAAGTTCTGAACATCGTGAAGAGGAAGCGAAATGGTGAATATCGTCGAGATAATGGTAGATTGAGGAGCACCAATAAAGAAGCTGGGAAAGAAAGTTTGGTGTTCACTAAGGAATCTCCCAATTACTGCGACAAAAGTTCTGACTTTCCCAGTACAGTGGGACGGCTGTGTAGCGCGGCGTCGTACGGCTCTGATAGCTGTGAAAATTTATGCTGCGGACGTGGATTTCAGAAGGCTCAAGTCAGGGTGAAGAAGAGGTGTGAATGTAAATTTCACTGGTGCTGTGAGATACGTTGCAAGCAGTGTGAACAGATAGAGACGCGACACACCTGTTCATGAAAATTGCTGAGAAGTATTGTCCATTGAAAGAACCCAAACAATGGTACCATAAGCAAAGAACACTACGGTGAACAGGCATTGTACGTTGTGCTACTTGTTTACAGCTGTAGAAAGCTAATGAAGCTGGGCTTTTTTAATTGCAGTCACTGGATACTGTAGGTAGGCAGTTTTTATTGCATCGGTATTATAAGTTATATGGAGCACTGTCAAGCAAACGGGCTCGTAGATATTAATATTTGTGTGTTGCAGATTGATGAATAGTACTAATAATTACTTTACGTCTAATGAAATTGGGTGGTTTACTTATGGAGTGATTTTCAACTGAGTGTCAAATGTTATAAAGGATTGCTTGGTTTTACTTTACTTTGCTCAGTGTTGGTCAAAACTTGAGCCAACTTTTTAATCAGTCAGATTCCAAAACCAATCATGACTTGGTCACTCGCCTTTTACAGCGCTGAAAAAACTTTGCTTGTATTTATTTTGAGTTCTCATTGGCTTTTTGATGTTAACCTTTGCTATGATTGGTCGTGGTGTTTATTTTAGGTTTGGTTTTGCGTAGGGTCACTCACTTGAAATGAGTTCTTATTTTAACACATGGGTTTAAGTGACACATTGAATATGAACAATATAAAATTTGCTTGTCTTAAAATGTCTCATAGCTTATTCAGGCTCTGGACTGTGTTTTCTTTTTTCAATCAAAGTTTGGACCCCTCCTTATTCGAAATTTTTGGATCCGCTATTGGTTCTGGGCTGTGCACAAATATCTCTTTTAGAGAATTTGTTTGATCTGCTATTCCTGTTTCATTTATTGGAATATTTTTAGTTAAGGGTTACTACAAACTAGTTCTAAACCAAATCCCAATATATACTATAGAATATATATATATATATATATATATATATATAATAGAACTTGTAATCTCACGTTGTTTCCAAAGCCACCGATAGACTGTTTCAAAAACACTGATAAAAAAATCAGACCAACTCTTTAAAGGAAAACCATACCAGTTTTGTCAACCAAGGAAATGGATTCATTTTATCGGTCAGTGATATAAAACGTCTCATACAAAACGTCTTTTATTTCTTCGATAGTAAGGATGGCATCGATCACCCGTGATTCAGATCGTGTCCTTTTTTGTCATGGGATTTACACTGAGGTCCTATCCATATCGTCGGAGAAATTTGTGAACGGGATTTTCACTCTGAAATGGTCAAGTGTTGCCAATCCTCTCTAATTAATGGTTATGGCATTCCTAAAATAAGGTTGAGTTTCAAATTTCTCCGACGCAGAACTGACGGGGCCTTAATCCTCCTTATAGAGAATATTTAGCTCTCCATTTGTGAGAAATTGCAGTTCTTGATTCTGCTTGTTAGTTCACGTAGTTGTTATAACATCTTCATTTTTTACAACGGGAAATTACGTATTTTTTTAAAAACTATCTGAGACACCTCTTGTTGTACGCAGCCGTTTTTATTTAGATTTTAGCCGTAAAAGATCTATAGTTAAAGCTAAACTATCGAGTTTTTCCTGAAAATGTTTCCCCGACAATTTTTCTTTTCGTTTTTCTCGAACAACACCTAAAATGTAATTTTGAATAGGTTGGCTTGTCAAAGAAGTGCCTATCAAAGTTTAAATGTGCAAGGGTACATGAAAAAATCAGGGAAACATGTCAGGGAAATCTTAAAGAACGTTTGACGGACTATAGTGATGAATAATGGAACGTGGATGGGGAGGTAAATATTTTACCTTTCCCTCGCAAACAAAGCATCTTTCTTGAATGAGTTTTTAAAAACTAATAAGGCTTTTATAGCCCACATTGGGCAAAAATTTTAAGGTGCATGTGAATAATACCATACACCAAAGATTTTAAAGAGTGTTTGGTTACACATCATGAAAATACATTATTTTAATGTTTTAATAAAATTTGTGTGCTTTTTGATTACCTCGGTATGTTGGATTGCGATTCTATTTCGGCCCTGTTGTCTACGAAGCCGAGCAGGATCTAAGTGGGGGAGGGGAGCTGAAATGTTTCGGTCGATCTCCCTAAACTGAGAAAGCTAGCGTCAAAACAAATGTCAATATCAATATGATAACTGATAACTTATTTTTTAATTTATACTTAAGTTTTTCTTATAGCGTGACAATAATTTTTTTTTTCTTTAAAAGGTCTTGGATCTAGAACCTAGACAGGCAATTTCAATTTTGTAATCTCGCAAATTACGATTTTGCCTCGAGTTGTTTCTGCCTGGAAAGTTTGAATTCCTCTTTATAGCTTTCAAACAACCCGCTCGTGGTATCGTTGATTTTTTCGAAACAGAGAAAAGTTTCAGTCGTTGTATATTCGATGGCAGGTTCACCCATGTTTAACTTCAATGCATCATTGCGCTAACCTTACCTCGTTCTCAAGTGCACTCACAACTCCTCGTATAGATTAATCTATATGGGAAGTTGTGTGAGCACTTTTGGGAACGAGACAAGGTTAAATGTTCTATCAAATGACTCTGCGCCGGTCTGTTCAGTTTTAAATTTCTTATGGTGAACGCATGCAAACAAAGATGGAAAACGAAAGCTGGATTTGAACCGTAAAAAGGTGAGAGGCCGTTTATTGACCCACGCAAGAATACATTGAAGTAAGCTTCTGTGTGACTTCTTTTGCTTCCGGTCATGACACCAGTAACAGTCCAAATTTGGTTCAGATCAGAACAGCCAAAAACTAACAATATCGATGTCCAACTTAAAAAAAGATCTCGATAAAATTGTTATAATCAATCAAAAATAAATGAAGAAGTTGTCGTAGGTTTTTTTGTGCGACTGTTTAATAACCCGTTGATGGGTTGATTTGGCACCTGTTGGATAGCGAGTTTTGCGTCGTTCGTCATCAATGTTTAATCACGAAATTTGGCCTCGTTGAAGTTTATTCACTGAATGCAAACTCTGCCAGGGAGCTAAGTGGTAGAAATGGCCCATCTCCTCTGTTTTATCGTTTTAATAATTGTCTTTAGTGCTACCTACGCCATAGAAAGTGGGCTACAAGGCACAGCAGTGATAAACAAGAGCTTGGAGGCAAGATTCCGAAACGAAACGCTCGAGAATGGCTCGTCGATAGTGAATGCTACACACATGACCATACCCTCCTTGATAATGCTGTCCGTTGAGATTATAAAGAATGGAAATCGCTCTAACAACACAGAGAAGGCGCGTGATGGCTCAGAGATTTTCTTTTTGGATGGGAAAACACCAGAGGAACTTTCTTTCTTGCAACCTCCCAAAGCCTCTCCGTATTTCCCGCGATTTAGTGAAATCTCGATGCGGACTCTATACTTGATTGTCTGCATGTGCTTGTTAATTCTTCTCCTGATGATCGTCAAACTGTTGGTTTCGAGAAAAGAGCGCAAAAAAGATTATGATATGGTAACCAGAGGAGAATTTGACGCTTAAACCGAACGGCTGAGACAAAGGATTAGAAGTCAGGAGTTCGGAAAACAAGTTTTTCGGGTAACCCGAAATTCCGGTTGAAAGCCGGTTGGTCCGGGTGCGTGATTTTGCCACATTCGTTCGAAAGACCAGTCTGGGATTTTTGACGTAGATAAAAGGTATATTAAGAAACGCTAAATCACTGAGCAAATCAACATTGATGTAATAGTGGATTTGGTGAGGATTTTGCGAAATCGGCATCGTACAAGAACCTTTCTAACATTTCACAGTCAGCCGCGTTACCTTCGTGGTTATTATATAATTTTAAATTTTGTCCAATTTTCTAAAGAAATTGTTTTAACACAAAACGTAAAATTGCATGTCATTCTAGAGGGTAGAAAGAGTTGAATCAGGTTTATCTCCGTATAAACTATTTTGCACTGTTGATTGCACTGAACAGTTTCAGTGGAGACGATCGAAAATTCGTGAAAACAGCGCGTGAAAATGGGTGAAGATGGTAGGAGGCTGGAATAGAAAAATGATGGGAAATATTTTCCACCTGCCTCTTTCTCATGTCAAGACCTCCTTTATTTTTCTTGCTCTTCGCCTCTAACAGAGAGCATGCCGGGTATTGCCTGCGAAATACTGTGCTTTAACTAAGACGCAGCCATTGTGTGGCATAAGATAAATCAGTTTTATAATGATTAGTCGGTAGCGTGGGAAACATAGACTAAATAATTGAACATTTCAAGGAGGCTATGAGAGAAGGAAAGTCGGGATCAATAAAGTAAACTACTGCATTCTTACAGGAAAAAGCCTTTTATAAAAGAAATATTCTCTCTGTTACCCTGATTGTCCGAGTTACTCGTAAAATCGAAAGAACTTGGTTTTTTTTCCTTTTTTCTGAAGCATCTCAGCTGGCAAGAATCTGAATTCCTAGAATCTGATTTGCTAACAGCGCGCTCGAACTGGTTAAGCTTTTTACAATACGGACTACGATCCGAGTGTTTTCCCCGCCATTCACGGCAAAGCAGAAAAAAGCAAACCATCAGAAAAAAAGTTATTTGCTGGTCTAGGTCGGTCTATTTACGAAAACATTGTGCCCTTAGTCTCAAAAATACGGCCCGTTGAAAACTTCCCGCCTTTTAAATAGCGTACAATTATTAGGCTCGATGCCTCGTGTGCACCAATATCATATTTCAAAGGTCTTCCTGTTTCATGAGATAGTTTCATTGAGGAAATTCCTAGTCCTATTCGATACAGCCGCACAATAGACATCGCTGACTCGTTCTCTACCGTCCCTGAGGTAGAGATAGATGGGAACGCTCCCGTTGTCCCGAAAGTTAATTGTCATCATGACTTGTGCCAAACTCTCTCGCTCTTTTAGTTAAAGACCAATGAAGGTTTACAGGGACAAGTCACTGTGTGACGAAAACTGATTTCCTGTGATGTTCATACACGAACATTTCATTTTTTTTTAGAACCATGATGCAAAAAATGTGCGATCTCTGTTTGATATTGGACCTGATCGATACGATGTTCACCTTTGTTCACCAAAATAACCATAAATACTCTGTAAATGCAGATCAGTGATGCATCATGTAAAAGAAATTATTTAGCTCCCCTAAAAGTTCATTTCGTTATCAGTACGTTTTGTGAGGGGTGATGAGCCAGAGAGTGTTATCCTGATTAAACACCAAATTCTCTTAACTCATTTGCGAGAAAACGCATAACATCTGACGGGTAAAATCAACAGATCACAAATAAATAACTAACTACCAATCATGACTGAAGTCATAAGATTCGTCCAACTAATTTGTTTAGAAGTAAAGAAAACAACACCCAAACTTTTCAACTAAAACTCTTCTATCCTGTAAGCAATACTTTATTATTAGCTCTTCAGCGCGTGCGTTGTTCGTCCGCAAGGAATGTTGAGTCTTTAAACGACGCTAGCCGGTGAAAAGTCGACTGTAAGTGCTTCAGCACCCAGACCCCCAGAGGCCCCTCCCCAACTTTTCTTAAATCTTCCTCTGAGCAATAAAACGCTCGTCCCGCGGCGCTAATATGATGAGGGCCTAAGTGTAAGCCAAAACTGTTCAAATCTTTCCTTCCACATCGATGAATGAAAAAGGGCGCGAAACTAGCGGACCAGGTGGATGTTTTTGCCTTGACCTAAAATGTAATCTACCAATGAAATAAAATCTTATTTTATTCGCATGACATGTGCAGGTTGAGCGTCAGCCATGGGGGAAGAAGGAAGTCTGTACCATTCGTGTTAATTCTAAAAAAGCAGGCTCAACCTTAAGTTCTGATGAGCTTTAAAAATGAAATTTTAGCGATATCTAAGTTGTCAAGATCAAGGAAAATGTTAATTGTTGCTGAATTTCTTCACTTTTCATCATTTGCACGCTGTAATTCGAAGATAACATAAAACTTAAGAAAATATAAATAACAGCTGCTGTCAAACTTTTGCGTACAATCAACAATTTTGGCTAGAGTAGCAATATATTGTGATCTGTGGCGAGCAGGTAAATAATTTGCCGAAGCAAACGACTATCTGATCTGCAAGACACAAATCACTATATTTTACAATATAATGGTTTTATTACACGACCACTGAGTCCGTTTTCACAGCTATTTTCGGGAATTTCTTACTGATAGCCAGAAAAAGCGAACGAGTATAGGCACAACCACGCATGAGCAGAACATCATATACAGCGAAGCACGGTCGGACGGTATTTGTGCATAAGCGGACAATTATTTTAAGCGGTTATCTCACAGGTTACGATGTGGGCTTTAGGTTAATCAAAGGAAGTAGAAAATCCGCTGCTTGGTAGTATATCGCGTTATGGATGAGTGTCGCTACTTCGATAGCGATTGGAAATAAACACGCAGCCAATTCTTGCTGGCACTTTCATTGATGCCATAGATACAGACAACAGCTTTGAATCGAATAATTGTTTGATTGGATGTTCATATGATGCCGAGATTTATCAAGCCTTGGCTCGCGTAAAGATAAAATGCAAAAATATCTGGCTTGATAACAAACGTTGTCATAATCAGTAACATCCAACCATTATTGACGAATTAGAAGCACAAGTTTAATAACATGAACGTACAATAGCTGGTTTTAAAATTTCCTTACGCTTTGAGTTGTCTTTGAGCTTGGATGTGTGATAACAGGACAGAAGAGAGGCGTGTTCTTGACCAATGTGTTATCATTATATTCTCAGCTGGAAATAAATGATACTTTCAATATTTTTGGCACTTTCAATTTCCAATTTTTTTCCATCTAGCATATTTCGAAAAGAGAAAAAAGAGTCTTCTGTGCGAGACAAGAAGAGTCTAAGTCAATGAACAATTGCATTCTTAGGTGTAGTGCAAAATGCTCAAATTCTACAAATTGACAGGAGAGCGGGTACGATTGCGTGGAATCAATTCGGCTCAACTGAGTTTAAAAATGAACATTGCCTTTCTAATAATAGAAACAGAAAAATCTGACCGCAATATTTGAGTGCTATTACGATTGCTCAGATAATAAAGATGTGCGTGCTCTGATTGGTCGACAAACAAACAGAGATACTACGCCCTGATAGATTAAAAAATACAGACCTGTTGTTCAGGTCTTTTGGGTAACGTCTTGTTCAGGAATTCTCGTGGACCACCTTCTAAACACCAACTAAGTGAAATGTGGCAAATTTAAAGCACATCATAAGACGGCACAACAACGATTTTTCCTGTACATCTATTTCCTAATCTCTACTTTTCTTATTTTATAAATGAAATGAATGTGTACACTGTTTGAATCAATGAACTCAGTGGTCAAACGTCGGGCATACGCAAGTGGATCCGTTCTGGCCTGCCGCGCGCTATTTTCCCGTGCAAAATTTCAAAGCAAAACGTAAGAAACAACAGCTGTCTGGCAAAATAAGCGAAAGAACGCTGACACATTCATAAAGAAGTAAGCAAAAGGAAAACTCGAGACTTTTCGAGCACGAATCTTATTCAGGGACTGGTATCAAATTAATTCATCATTCCGTATTCAGCCTAACCGAAAAAGTTATACGCTTTTGAAACACCGTGACTCATTAGCTTTTGCAGTTGTTTGTAATTCCTGATAGACAACTTGGTCGTGACAGCCTTGAAGCGCGCTACCTGACCGTTAAAACGTTCGCACACACATAAACGTTTGACCGCTGTGTTGAATCAGTATTCAAGATAAAATATTTATACAAAATGGCTACATCTATGAATATAAGCCTGGTAAGCAATCTTCTAATTTCCGACACTTAGCATCAATGTGGCCAGCGTGTGCAGATTATAAATACTACTGCCAGATCATGTCCCCCTTTAAAACCTGGGAACATTGATAATTAAACTCAGTGTCCCCGGCGTGCTTGCAGATTATATAGAAAGATACTAATAACTTAATGCCATTATAAATATGCTGAAATGATATTTCCCTGGGACATTTTTGACTGACATTCGTAATTAAATAAATAATATAAAACAAGTCAAAAGGCATCAAAATAAAGAAACATCTTGTTTGCAGTTTTGAGAAACCTTAAAGATCATTTTCAAGATATCTAAGGCCTTAGTTTCTAAACGAGAATAAAATCAATAATCGCTAATGATAGCAAATGTTTTTGACAAACTTTGTCTTTATTTGAAATTGTAGCGCGTTGAGATAAAACTGGCAGGCTATGATATCAAGTTATGAATTGCTCATCTTTTTGCATTTGCTGCAGTCGTACAACCGCTTTTACTGACTTTTGTAAGATTATTATTCAGTTTATCAGGACGAATTCGATATAGTCGACCCAATTTCCTAGTCTCGAGTTTTAGCACAGTCATCGAGAGCTATCAATTCGGTACGCAAGTTTCTTCGTCACTTTTTATAATATAGTCCATCGTTTGTCTCTTCATCGATTACAAAGCCACAAAACGAAAACTTTTCCCTCAATTTGCCATCTAAAATTACAAAAACCGATGCCTCATACCTTGACTGTCAGAAATAAAAAAGTCCCAGCCTTTCATTAAAATCTTAAAACCTTAAGTGTCATTATTCCTCGCTGAGATACTAATTTCAATGATGATCCTCTGTCATTCAACAATAGAATCTACTAAATTGATGGACAGGGCAGTCGTTCGGCAGCAAGCCGATAGAAGACCGGTTGTCGTTAAAACCGAATTATTTGTGATAAATATTTAGGATTTATCAATTCGTTTTACAACTTGTATTTACAGTTCCCATAACTATCTACATTTCCAAAAGGATAGAAACTCGTTGTAAGCCAATGGTCAACGGAAAATGCAAAATGCCTTCTTCGTTTATCTTAAGACTGGCTTTCTTCTTTCTTCCTCGATAAACACATAAAATCGAGCAGGAAAAGTGACTGCACAAGTTTAAATATGAGATTTTGAATGACTCGCGTGCATTTTACGCATTGATTGTTGAATAACTCCTCATTTGCATCTGAATATTTCCATACGCTCTTTGCAGTTCTCGCATTCAACATGACAACACCAATGAAACTTGCAATTGCAACGCCACTTTTTGACAATCTCATGAGTATTGTGGCCTCGGCCGCAACACATCAGCTCGCAACCATCGATTCCATCTGATGTCTTATTACATTCTCGTTCTGTTGTTCCGGGAATTTTCCTCCTTCGATCTCGATCGCAGTAATTCGGGGAGTCTTCGATGTAAACCAAGTCTCTAGAAGGAGGCTTGTTGTCGCCGAACTCCAACCAAAGATACGCATCTCGTCTACCGTTTGGAGATGGATATTTAATAGTTTTAACACGAGAGGCTTTAAGGTAGCGTTGCTTTAATTGAGAGCCTATCTTTTTAAAACCAGGAAGATCTTGCCAGCAGGTTCTTGACACGCATGATCCAGAGGTACCATGGCAATGGCAGTGTAATTTGAGACTGTCTTTAAGAGCCTAGTGAAAAAAGTTCCCGGTAAAGCAAAGATTTACAAGAAAAAGCATACTGGCCAAAGTGCTTTATGTTTCTTTCTCGTAATTTATATTCGTTTAGGAAAGAAAACGGGTTGAGGTTTACGCCAAGATATGAAACCCGCGGACTTCCAGGGGACTCTTTCACAGAAAAGTCCATTTTAAACCCTCTGTGAAACAAATACTTCAAAAATGGAGTTACTATAAGTTAAAAAAATTAGTTCATTATCAACTGGCAGTTGATAAAGGATTTACACACCGCCCCAACTTATCTTGAGCGTCAGCCTTTCCTAAAATAAATCGGATAAAGGAGCCGTCTCACTCGAGTTGCTTTACAAGACAAATCATAACAGTTTACTCAAGATGGAGACACTAACTTTAATATATTTACTCGCAAACGATAGTAATTTGTAATGAGTTAAAAATATGGAGGGAATAACTTATCTTGAAGTAACTTCACTTGCTCAAAGATGGAGATTTAAAGGAAGCCTTCCTTGCAAGGCTTGCATTGGTGAAACAGGTTGCCATTGAAATGATGGAAATATCTTGTAGTATAGCAATCCGTATGGAAAAATTGGGTAACAAGAAGCAAAATGTATGAAAACTGAGAACAAATGTTTGCAATCTTGACGTTTGAACTTTGAACCGTGAGCGCCATTTTGGATCGTAGACGTCATACGGTTGCCAGTTTTATCTAGCATCACGTAGATAAAAAGTGGAAACTGTGAAGCGTCACACCATCCAACATGGCGCAGAGCACGGCACAACTAAGTTTGAAATAACCTTTAATATTTGCCCCGTTGTTTTCTCACACTATACACTTCACTGAAATTTTTGCTAACTAGATTTAATCTTTAACGCTCTTCTTGATAATTCAACGGCGATTTGTCCCACCAATAGAGACGTTAGGAAACACTTTCCAAAGACGCGGATGGCCACCGCAACAGTGCGACTACTTCTGACACGCTTCTACATCAAACGATGAAAAACAAAAAACAGTGTCTTGTATTTTCAGCTAAAAATACAGACAAAAGATTTGTGCCAAACATTAGACAGGCTAAGAGCAGCTCTTTCTTTTCGACGAAGTCCGTCGCGTGATTCAAAAAATGATAAGAAGGAAAAAAATGTTAGGCGCCGCTCGGAACTCTAAGTGTGAGGCGCCTAGTTCGGCGCGGCACGCTGACGTCATATCTTTACCGAAAATCACTTTTTGATTCGCACAAGGGACTTCGCCGAAAAGAGAGGTTACTCTTAGTCTAAGCGCCAGGGAAACTAAAACTTAAATTTCAGCGGCCACCTGCGTCTAGTTATTTTGTAGAACTTGAAAAAAGTTCAGTGACTTAGTTCATCTTTTCATTCTTAACGGAATCTTATTGTCGACAGTTTTTTTTTCTATTACCGACCATACGATGCAAAAAGAAAACACTTTCACAAACGAATACTTCGTTTAATTGGTTTATTAGAGCGCAATTCTTGTGAGTGTCGTAAACTGATAAGAACCAAAGTAATCGCAACTTCCAAACAGAACAAAGAAACATCTTCATAGGAGCCACTTGAGAGCTGAACCTCCACGAAGGACCAATTCGAGATTTTATTTCATTTCTCGTCTTATTTATCGGCTGGATTTTAGGAGCTTTAGAATTCCTATCACAGATGAAAATAGAGCAACCCAATGCAATCCCCCATTGTTTCGACACTCATTGAAAATTGCTCTAAAAGTAGACTAAATTCGCCTTATACCACACCTCCTACTGGCTTTGACTTTGTACTGGCTTGATGAAAATTTTCATTATGTAAATACCGGATAACTTAAATGGGTAATTTCAAAGAAGAAACGAAAAAGCTGGAGAAAGTTTTATGATTGGAAAAATAGTAAAGTCTTCCCTCACCAAAAAATTTTAGCGATAACATAAATTGTCATTATAAAAATTCCTCCGCGCTCGGAACAATTCTACAGCTACGATCTAAGCGCGACGGTCGACGGTTGATAGTTGATGTTTCAAGTTTACTTTAAATTAAATAAGGAAATGCAACGAAACGAAGTAAATTATGCTGCGTCAGCTACACAGAGGTTATTTTTATGAATCTTGTAACTCACAGGCCGAGATACGATATCTTCATTCCAATTGGGTAGTTTGTGCGCGTTAGCTTTAATTATTCCCTAGACCTAAATAAAAACAAAAATGAGATAAATTGTCGTAAAATGACAAAACTGTGTTTGGCGCAGAAATGAAAAGCAGAAAATAACACGAAAAACAATCGTGTATCTTGAATCTTAAAACTGCCTTTGATATGCAGGCTACCATTAATATGCAGGCCCCATTGATATGCAGGATACCATTGATATGCAGGCTACCACAGACAAATAGCATTCCTCATTTCTCGAGCGTAAGAGGTGTGGTATAAGAACCTACGGATATTCCATTAACTTTAAATTCTAGATTTTTAATCAAGGCTATTAGTCTTTTATACTCTATACATCTCAATACATCTACAATAATATCACTTAACTTTTTGACGGTTCTACCTTTTAATAATTAGATAAGTTTACACATATCTCAAAGTCAGTTCGATCTTATCATATGTGATCCTAAGTGGATCACTTTCCGTCAGAAAACACGACATTTCATAAATGACATGTGAACATCTTTACAGATAAAAAGCACTTTAAGTGCCTGCAGTCCTTAAATGGTTACTGATATTGGTGCCCTAGTTGCACCTGTATTTTACGACGTTTTCGACACGTCCGATTGTATGACTGTTCTTCTGTACATGGTATGAACTGTTCGTCTAATCGTTTCATGTCAACATGGCGATTTTCGCTGTTAGCACTTAGGCCCTCAAATTCCGATTTAAATGTTCAATGTAAGCTGTGCCACGCCCATGATCGCCATCTACTTGCACGTGTGCCTTATTACGTTGTTGACGCACTCATGACATTTGACCTCGCAGCACCAATGAAATTTACAGCTACACTGAATCACTTCAGTAAGATTGTGCGTGTCGTGGCCGCGCCCACAGCACATGACATCACAATGGTCTTCCTCAGTAGAGCCGGTCGTGTTGCAGATGCGATCTCGGGTTCCCGGGATTCGAAGTTTCGGATCTCGATTACAGAATGCCTTAGAGTCATTTAGATACACCAGGCTATGTGTGTGTGGCTTCTTTGAATTATTCGATTGTAACACAAGGTGTTCAGGCTTCGCCCCTCCGGAGGTCGCGCCCGTCAAGGCATCAACTCTCAAAGCAGTGTGATAATACTCTTTCAACTTTTCTGCGACTTTACGGAAAGAGGACAAGGCCATCCAGCATGTTCGCTCTACACAGGACCCTGACAATCCATGGCATTTGCAAAATTTAACCAAGTTCTGTCTCACAACCTAAAGCAAGCGAGAAAAACGTCCTAGGTTTAGGTGAAAAGTTAAGGCTGTGCTCTGCTTCGACAAACAACAGACAGTGACCATTCCAAACCATGTAGCGTCCTCCTTGTGGAAAGATGATCTCTGTAACGCATCCTCTAAATTATTTGTTTTGGGCGTCTAATTACTAAGTTCTTAAATTAGTTGTCCATTCTCTACCAAAAATGATTATGTAGCTATGTAAAGTCGTGTTTAACTCTACGTGGATATAGATGCGGGCAATAGGTACTTGATCCACAAAAATGAAATGGAGAATTTTTAGCAAACGTGTAAATTTCGTTTGAGCCTGCTTAAGGTTCTTATACCACACCTCCCTCCTCAGTCAGCTAACTAGCACAGTCGTTAGGACCCCCTTTTTAAAGGGGGTTCCCTCACAAAATACTTTAATATTTGTCGTACCGCTTTTGGGGGTGCGGTGGGGAGGGGACTAATGTACTGTATTTACGGGTATAATTCTCACTGAAGACTAAACTATCAGATAGCTATTATAGCCGCGAAAATATCTTTCAGAGCTACATGCTCAAAGTCGTTATGCTGTTTGGTTGTATTCGAACTGAGAAGTATAGAATTAAGGTCGGGACACGCAACAAGTTGGAAATACAGGTCTCTCCTAAATAGCACTTCATGTTTACTACTTTCAAAAGGAGTAAATGCAACTCACTTTAGTGATTAAGTTAGCACCGATATCTCTCGGTTTAGATTCATTTTTTTCTTATATTCTTTTGTATTCGAGAGCAAAACGGAAAGATCTTATTCAAGTTAAACCCACCTTTCCCTTTTAAGCCGAAAACTAAAAATTAGCCAAAGATTAACAGAAGAATTGTACAGTTCTTTCAATAAAAATATCTCTAAAACGACTCCCAATTTAGAGGAAGCAAAGTGTAAACAAAGGCGCACACGAAGGTGAACCTCAAAATCAAATACCACTAAAAGAGTTTCTTTATAGCTTTTAATACTCAGCGCCACGGTTTGACGAATTATGAGGCTCTCGTAAACTGCGATTTAGCGAATGAGACGGTGTGACTAAAATTCCCTGAGTCGATTTTAAAACGTATTTTATAAACGAGATTGCACTGAGAATCATTTTAAACCAAGAAATTCCCAAAAGATAATAGCCAAAAGCAACTAAGTTAAGGAAAACGTCTTTTTGTGGTAACATTTCGCTAAGTGTAAAGTAATTGAAGTCTCGTGTGCTCCTTAATATGTAGGAATAAAAAAAATTGTTGATTTTATGCGCGTAGCAACATTTCCTGAGATCCTGTTTCTACAGTTAATGACCGCCATGAATGTTCCTTTCAGTCACTTTATGATACAGCCAACTGGACAGTAAAATTATATTTGTTCCACCGCGGAAGTATCTGCAGTCTTCACGGCCTTTTTTTTCTTCAAGAAAGAGGAAGAAGACGATTCTTTCCGTTTCTTAAAATAATCTCAGGAATATCGGTCTCAATTTTAGGCGTGGGAAACTAAATTTCTTTTATTCCAAAAATAAATTTTTCGACATATTAAAAAAATTGTTATCAACATAAAAGATGCTCTGTCAATGTTTGTTTTCAGGGTTCCCAGCTGTTAGAGATTCCGCCGTTAATATTAATCTCTGCAGGCGGGCTAAGAGAACTCACTTTGTTTTAATTACTAAAATTCAACTAAACAATGCTTTCTTTTCGAACCATGCCTAGTGGTTTTCGGATCCACAAAAGTTAACATTGCTCCACCATGGGAAAGCGCTTTAAGTTACAAGTATCACTTTAAGTGTAGTTTGCTTTCCCAAATTCTCGAATTCATTTCTAAATATGATAGATTTAAAATTTCCTATGCCCTTTACAATTGGTGAGCGCAACTGAAACTGTCTAAGCGAAAGCACAGTTTCGTTCGATCGCTGATGTACTGCATACCTTCGCAGAGCTTCACGTATCAAGCATTCTCTTCACAATATGATTTCGCTTATTTCTAAGCTAGGCAATGAATTCCAGCGCATGTTTGAAAAACTATTGCTTTCATCCAAACGTTGGCTTTACTCAGAGGGCATTATATGCACATTACGTAAGTTGACAAAAATGTTGGAAGGGAATGAACAGTCATTAGACCATAGCCACATTTATATATTGCGTATTCCGGTTAAACTAACTCAAGCTGGTATTTCATGGTCAACTTAGTTAAAGGACGGATTACTGTAAAATATAAAGCTAACAGCCAGTAGTTGAGCGAGGTGGTGGTATGGCATAAGGAGTTTTAAATATTAGCATTAATTATTTGCAAGCAAAACTTATCTCATGAGTAAAATTTTGACCAAATCACACTTTCCGTTAGAGATAAGAAAAATTTAGCGTAACCCTTCTTCTCTTTCGAGTTTATCGGTTTCCTTGTTAACACGGGTCATTTCATCTGGACAGAGTCCTTTATTGCATATTGTATGACTCTCTCAGTTCTCAATAATGAGGCAGATTAAAAGATACTAAGCCATTGCCAGAGAGAGAGAGTCACAACACGATTAAATAAACTACACACACGTCCAAAAATAAGAATATGTCTCACTCTTCATATTGCTTTTTTTGTCTGCTGTAGTCAAAGGGAAACAAAGATAAAAAAAATTCGAGTTCCGTCATTTTTTGTTATTGATCATTTTAAGCGAGGTCAAATATTTCGAAGTCGAACTTTACAAATCATAAATCATTTTAGCACTTGTTTTAATATTAGGGAGCATGCATTATTTTTCTTGAGGATATGAATATTTTGAGCGTAGAGTTTTAATTTCCTACGACGTGGTTTTGCGGTTACTTTGTAATAAGTTTGAATGTCTTCCTCAGTAAACATTCAATACTGTTTACTATACAATTGTCGTTGCCCAATTAATTATTTTACTTTCGATTTAAGTTTCTGAAGAAACTTGCCAAATTGTGTTGAAAAATCGACGAATTTTGTACACGTGTTCAAATTGGAGCGTAAAAATCTAATATAATTATCTTGGATCAAGGTTGAAAGTTCCTGTAATATGAACCTTTTCATATGCAAATTTCACGGCTACAAGCTTCTTCGTGTGACCAAGACAATTCAGGCCAATCCGAAATTGTTTAGCCGTCATTATCATTAACTAATTAGAAAAGCAATTATCTAATTAAATCTCCTACCTGCCTACCAGCCCTGCTGTTATGCCTGTTCATCAGCCAAAAGGCATTGTGTTTCTCCTCGCGAGCATTCACGAAGCGACTGGAAAGATCGAGACCGAAGCTCAAGTCGACAGAACAACCACCCCACGACCAACCTTTGTAGTGCTTTTTTTTCTCCGTACTTGTGAGTTTCTTGTCACAATTGCATTCGCTGAGGTTTCCCATACTACAGGCTCGGGTGACTGTGTACACAACTCCAGCCGAAATGATAGCTTGCGTGTAAGCCATCTCTCTAGTTCCCTCTACAAGTGGGAGAGACAACGTTTGAATCGACATCTTTGCATAATTAGTCACCTTTAGTTCACTAACGTAAAATGAACACAACTTTTAGCATCAGTCTTTCAACTGATATTTTCACATATGTTCACGAGTTTCAGACTGAAGCAAATCCTTCGGCAAAGATTTATTCCATGCATATATAATTTTTTTCATATAACAAAGTTTTGGGCATTTCTTTTAAAAGACTAGCCTTCTTTTCCAAGTTAATCGATGCAAAAATGAAATATTTGAGTAACCCTAAAAATCCCAGTGATGCAGTTTTTTGTCAGCTAAATACTCATATCTACTATCATCATTAGATCTTGCTCGAAACATGTAATATATTTTAGAGGAAACCAAAAATATCCAGTTTTATCGAATTATCAACAACAAGTGATTTCCACTTATTAAAAAAGGACTAAAATAATCGACATTGGTGAGAACCTTATAAATTTGAAATGAAGATGCTTAAAATAGCTTTTTAAATATAATTTTTTTTAATTTCATTTCACATGATCGATGGCTGAAAATATTCGTATCAGTCTCTGGAAAATTTTAGAAGACGACGGGCCTAGTTACAATCATCTTTACTCCTTCACTACAAAATCGCTCAGGAGGATTGAAAGCATAACATAGCATTGCTCTTGCAGCTTCTGCAAGCATAACTTATTGGGACACTAGTTCTAGAAGGAATGCAGGCTGTATATTTACTCCTCGAGAGCGAAACACATCCTTTGATATGAACAGATGTCTCAAAAAGCTGCGCATGAAAGTATCATACCACGTAACCCGTTCTTATACGTAATACACAGAACTGGGACAATTAAACATTTAAATGTCCAACTTCACTTTAAATTTAAACACATTCAAACTCGTTAAAAATTGCCTTACAGAAACAATCAAAAATTTCATATTGGTTTGTTTTACAATATCGATCGGTCAGTAGAAATTATAGGCAGCACCAAAATTGCTAGCTTTTGTGTCGGGAAGCTGAAAGTTTGGACAAATGAAAATACTGTCGCCGTATACCGGAAACACTTCAAGACACTTAAACATAAGTGGATTCATAAGAGGACTCTCAGCTAAATAGTGAGCCATTTACTTCAAACAAACAAACAAACACTTTGTAACAGTTCAACTAAAGTGGACTGACAAAGAAAGGCAATAGTTAATTGCATGATATATATTCGAGAGGCCTGTAGTGTCTCATTAGAAAGCCGACATTTAAGACAATCTTAGAGGATGTTAATCCCACTCACTAATGGCTTTGTCGTCGAAATCCGATGTTTCGCCGAGTAGAGTACAATTCCATCTGCTTTTTCGGAACTGGAACCTGCATTCCTCTGCAGCCATTCGATAACCCTCTCTTATGCAATAAATGACTTTTGGGTTTTCGTCGCACACATTTCTCTGCCTATTAGACAAGCCTGGAATGCGAGTACAGATAAGGCTTGGGACAAGAGTTGCGACAGAGGACACAAACCTGCCAAAGACATGACATAAAAAGTTTGAATTAAATACGATTGTCTTTGTAAAGTACAAGAACACAGGAATGAATTCTTACTCACAAAAGCTTGGAGTTGGCTTGCATGTACGCGAATACTGTGGCAACTAGTAAGGTGAAAAGAGCTATCCCTTGTTGGCTCTCCATTTTAAACGGTTCAAGTTCGTTCTTTTTATCTAGCGGGTGACAGAAGTTCACGAATATAAATCCTGTCATCATTGAAATGTTTGTTTGATCTTTCTCCTGATTGGGCCGACCGGAATTAATCAAAATTTTTAATTTACTTTGTGGACTAAACAATTGGGCGGAATGTGTGGCCTTAAATATTGTTTCTCATCCAAGCAGGAACACTTTTATTGATGAGTGTTGAAGTTTCCAATTTGAAGCATTCATTTTTTTCAGCGGCTTAACTCAAATATTTTGATTTAAAAACCGACAAGAACGCTTAACGAAGCAAGCGACTTTTTTTTTTTGGAATAGCTCTAACGGGGCTGACTTACTTTTATTAAAAAGCTAATGATAAGAGCGTAAAGACTTAATTGAAGATCATAGACGTGGCCAAATTTTATTAAACGGTGATTTTGCATGCATTTGAGGCATTTGAGAGGTATTCCGAAAACAAACATCCAGCTCATTATTGATAAATTGAATTGAAGGTTTCTCTTTGATGTGCCGCCCATTTTGCAATGGCGGACTAACCCTTTCAGTAGGTTTTCACTGAGCTATACCACAATTGCACGGCAACCTCCGTTATTTCGACTCGTGTTATATTAACCGCGCCTCATCCAGCGGAAGCGGTAAAACTAACGGTTTTGCGTTTTTTCATAAGCAGCGCCTCGCGAACTCTATTTCTTATCGGAGGGTAGTCTTTATTTCATCCGGTTTCTTCTTTATTAACGAAAGTTTCATTCTGACAGAAGAGGCTGCACAATAAATCTATAATTATGTCAACTTGACAATACTTTTAGAAAGAGAAACCACGCGCCAAACTCATCAACCAATCCTTATCACAATCTTAACTTTTGTTGAGTTATCAGGGAACTTCGGCGGCTCAGTCATTTATACAATACTTGCCTCGTTCTCTTCTTGTCAAAAAATATCTAAGCTCAAATAATAATTAATCTAAAATTCTAGATTTATGCTTGTTGAAGTAACAAGTAAATTTTTCTTGATAACGGAAATTGATAGCCAACTCGGACACCGCCGAAGGACGTCAACGATTCATACGTAGCCGGTAAGAAATTGCTAATAGTTAATTTCGTCAGTTCGTGCGAGATAAATAAAGCAACAATTCAAGTAACTCTATGGGCATAGATACTTCATTTTTCCTTCGGAAAATATTTGGGGTAAGAATGTTTGAAAAACTTTCCACGAGCTTTTTACTGGGTGTATTCGAGATACGGCATTCATTTTTCATTCAGTAAACTTCGTCTTCCTCTCCATACAGCTACTAAGCTTACCGGGGAAAAAGATGATGTAATTGAGAAAAGATTTTTCATTAAAAGGAATTTTTCCTCAGATGTATAGTCTCAGATCGTCCTTTTGAAATCTTTGAAAGTTTTAGCCATATTGGGAGAGCCATTCAGTTTGTACACCCATTCAGACAAGCCTGTTGATATTTCGCATATTCACTCATAAATCTTCTTTTCTGCGTAAGGGTGTTATGTTTGACAGATCATCAGAGCATATAGAGTGCTTTGAAAATGTCTTATTAAATTTACTGATTAGATTAAAAGAGCAGAAAGCACGAACTACTCCACATTTCAATATCTACAATGTTCCGCTTCATGGACCAATTTGATTGCATCTTGTTCAAACACCCAATCATCAATCGTTTGTAATTCAGACATGCTCTGATGTTTCTACTGCCTTCGTTTGACCACCTTGCAAAAGAGATTGTGCGCAGATAAAGAGACAGGATATATCCCATCTGGTAAAAAAAAAGTTCCTTAGTTTCTGATCAACTAGTTATTTAAAGTCATTGCCTTAAAAGACAAGATTTCGATCAAATCATCTATCAATAGAAGGTTAACAGGCAATTTGTGGACTGTGTTTATTTAATTAATTTCAATCTAACTATCTCTTTGATACCTGCAAACACTTTGCTGAACGGCCGACTTTGAAATTAGAATGACAATATTTCTTTAACTTTATCAATATTACGATTACAATGTCACATTAGTATTCTTGCTTTAAAAAGGGCTGCTTGAGGTAAACCTTTGAAAAGCAGAACAGAAAATTCCATGTTCATTAAAATTTAAGGAACAATACACATTCTAAATTTCAGATGAAAGGTTGTTGTTCAACGTGAATCACAATATCAACGGCCCTTTCCGTCTTCTGAAAATAAGTAACATGATTGATAATTCTATGTACATTTATTCAATTATTATCAAATTCTTTTGATCCCAAAAGGTACAAAAAGGAACACTGACAAAAAAAATCCAATGACTTACTAAAATTGGTTACATAAGCCGAATATACCACAATGTACTTTGTTTCAGCTAGGAATTAATTTCCATTGTGGTTTTACATTCACAGATGATTGCAAAATCACTTCAAATGACAGATTTACATTCGATCAAGTGACATCCCTCGAGGAGCCGCCGAGCACGTACTTGTTGCTATGTTTAGCTCGGCCCTCCCACCACTTATTTTTCCATATTATCGGCGTAGTCTTTCCTCTGTCATAACACGTGTGAAAGAAAAACATTGACGAGTCACAAAACGGTAGAAAAATCGCGATCTTTTCATGCAAGAAGATGGATAAAACTTCACCGAATCCAGAGTTCTCCTGTCTCGTTCTTCTTTGCCGATCACTCGTAAAGCTTGAAAAATAAATGAAAAATTTTGAACCATAGACCCCTTTCGAATTGCAGATGGGTCTTTCGTTCGTGCGGTACCAGCAAGGATTAAATCGGCAAACTACTCATGGAAAAACTTTTTTGGCCTTGTAACAAAGAAAATTGGCCGAGAAACCGGCAAGTTAAGAAAAATCAATAAATATCCACTTAACCTTAAAACCACACACAGAAAGCCGAAAAGAAATCATAAAGAAGATGATTGCAAACACAGTCAACCGCTATGAAATTAGCCCTCCAAGATGCGGCCAATTGCAATTGGGCACAATTGGCCATCTGTAAAAATTCACTGAACCGGCTGGGGAAGCAAAGAAAAGCCGAAAGGAATTGAAGAATCCGTGGCCAGCCACTGATCACTTAAATAATTGAGGCCGAAACATACTCTAAAGGAAATAACAAGGTTTAAAAACTTTGGACGAAGGAATCTTAGTGAATTTCATTTTCAATTGAAAACAATGCCTTATAAAGATAAATTTCTCATCAGATTATAATAGAATCAATGGGAAAAAAACGTTTAATATTTTAGCTCTTTTGAATCCATTTTCGTCTTAGGAGATATAGGGGTATTTTGTAAAATTGGTGAAGTATTAAATCGAAGTTTTTGAACAACGTTTGGGAAACCGTAGACTCACTCTAAATGGAGTATCCACATTCTCTAGTAAACTGCAAAATAGCGGATTCTTTCGCGGTGTATGCAGACCCACATTTTGTAAATTTTTCATTAGTGACTTCATTTTGATACATTTGATACAATAGATGAATGATGATAGTTGTAATATTCAAGAGAGGACTCCTCTTAGTCTGTGTTATGTTTGTGCTTTAATTCGTCCAGTGATTCAATCGACACCTTTTTGGATGGAAACATTTTTAGAAGTGCATTTTTTATTTTTCATTTTCTAAAAATGTGTTAGAATTACTCCTCATTATTCTGGAGGGTTGAAAATGCATAGAGTTTTGGAAGCCTGCAGTGAGTGCAGCACTCATCAAGAAATCGCATTTTTTTTGGCAGTTATGTTGAATCAATCATTCAAAACACTAAAGTGATAGTAAATCCTACAGCTTATCACTCTTCCGTAACTTATCCTACTGTTAAATGTTACAATTAATCGTAGTCAACCATCCTCAAAAAGGCTATCTTTACAAAAGCATGCAGGAGTTCTTTAACTAGAAAACGGTTTCCAAACATAACCCAAAGTTTCCGTAAAATAAGAATTTGCTTCATAGTGTTTCAGAAGCTCGTTGCCCTGAGAGAGCCAGCTTTATGACAATTTAGGACTGCCAGGACTATTTTAGAAACTCATTTGCTTAAGAGAAGTGGAAATTTAAGCCGCGATTAACTTCCGACCCTAGAGCAGCATACTTTGGCTATTAATAAACCATATATTGCCTTGATGCCTCCATACAAAAATTTAATCTACGTTGTGACATTCATTCATCAATATTATTAACAATTCAATTTAAAGATAGATTTTTATGTCAATGAGGCTGTCGTAAACGCTAAAGCCCTCCTTTTAAATCAATTTTTATCCTACATGAGTAGTTTTACTCGGCCCAAACTTAAGACCTTTTTCCTTAAAAGGAGTATGAACGTTGTTGAGTTTGTAAATAGAATTTACTCAGGTTAGGCTTACAATTGCACAGGGGAGGTTATGTTTGGATCCTTGGACTTTCAAAAAAAGGCGACCAATATGGCTCTTAAACGGAAAAGTATTTTCATCAGTTCCCCTATTTTCAACGCCTGCGAGATGCTACGTCCATCAAAATTGAAAGAGGAGTACCTCCATATTTCAAAACTTTGCTTAAATTCATTTGTTTCTCTTTTGAAAAATTTTCCGAATGAGCTTGGCGGCAACATAACAAAGGATGCCATCATCCTGAAACGAAGTCATTTGGAAAAAAAGTTATCGAAGACTGTATTACGAGGCCATGCTGTGTACGAACTAAAGATTCCTCTATTATAGTTCATTTACCAATCATAGTAGACTTGATTTGCCGCATTCGGCTAAAGATCAAAAGGCCGAAACAGCTTCCGTAATAACATTCAGTCTGCGGATTTGATACATCATCACAAACGCTTCACCTGTGATGTGGTTACCCGACATCCTTAAAATTGTTCGCACCGCTGACGGCACGAAGCACGCAACAGCTGACCAAACTGCCAGAAGGTCACGCAAAGCTGTTGAATAGTTATACAAGTAATCTCTATTTCGTCCTCAGTATGTCCGATCATCTTCAGCTGACTTAAATCCAAGAATGAGAACAACACGACGTATTTTACTCAATCAGAGTTTTAAGGAATGGTTCTCTAAAGAACATTTCTTTTTGTATATACATGATGAGTTTTCTATAGGTCACCCTCTATCATCCTTTAATTGAAATTGGTATGCATGTAGTTAATGAAAGTGTTAC